TCGGAAAAGGTCTGATGTTTTATACTACAACTTCTTGAATAATAGACACAGATACCATCGTAACCTCAATCCTTTGGAGGTCTGAGTTAAAATGACCCAGATATATCAGTCATATAGGGACAATAACTGAACTAACACCTCTCGACATTCGGTACTTGAACCAGTTGATATAGGAGTAAAAATTAAAGATCCTCACCTGTAACTCGACTCTATGGCTGTCAGAGCCAATGAGATATTACGCTGAACTGGTGTGAACAGGGTTAATAATGTCGCTCTCGCACCACATCTAGACATTTTTATGTTTATCGAGGTTGTCGGAGGTGTGACCATGTGGCAATCCTTGGTACTGGACTCAGTCTCCTCTTTTTGCGGATTTTTGGCGCAGGTATGGGTTATTGGTTGTTAGTTTTGGTTGTGGTGGAGTTGAGAGGCGCTGGTGTTGAGCCCCGGGGCTGGAAGCTGAAACGTTTTTGCAGGATTTTGGTGTGCAACCTGCCTACAAAGCAACACAGTTTGCCTATTGGGGTGGGGGAAAGCCATCGAGATAACTCTCTCGATGGACCTAACCTAACGTCACCTGCAGTAGATAGAGAGTAGCGGGGAAAGCCTGTCACGAAGGAGATCAGTAAAATTAACCAGACATCGACCGTACCGAGTGATAGGGCATAAGAACCACGCCTCAAATTTCAAGTATTTGCATCTGTAGTTTCCATTCGTGACCGGATTGGTGTTACTGGATCAGCATTCACAGCGTCCGCATGTAATCAACTGTCTACATGCAATACTGTCAATTCGATCGCGCTATTCCACGCTGGTGATTAGATTGATTTATGTATGTGCAGAAGCTCCAATATATATGTTGTTGTATAATTGTGTAAATGAAATTAAGCTGTTAAAATATTGGGCGTGATAACCAAGCGAGTGACAGTTCATGATTGTTATTTTCGGTTTGACCGAGTGCTACCACATGAGGTGATACGCGGTACATATTCATGTTAAAATACATGCTCGAGTTCAGTATTTCTGTCGGTTTCTAGTAAGGAGTTCGATATTGTGTTGTATTTCGGGCCCTACTCCGATTTTGTAGTTTTACGGGACATAACAAGAAGTTAAGCTTACTAAATACGGTTGTAATGCGATGTCCGTACGTTCCAATTACGTATACCATCAAAAAAAATTTGTAAAGTACGTGGTTGAGGGCTTTCAGTACTGCCTATGATTATTGATGTTCAGATCCCCGTTTGCGACCCGGATTCTCATAGGCCTTCAGTCCCCTCAGTTAGATAACTTGATGGGCTGGCGTTATGTATTCCGTTAATTGCTGGTATCACTCAGTCTAGCAGCTGAGAATTAATCAGCGATAAGTAACAGACGTTCTTTGTTCTCTATAGGGCAAACCTAACTACTTATAATTAGTGATAATGATCGGTCTGACCCAGCTGTTTTGTGCAATGCGATGGGGAATTGGGTATGTAGACGCACTAAATACCTGACCATGAGATCTAGAGGCTTTCGTGAATTCAGGCATTCCATGGATGAACGAACAGAGCTGAGGAAAGGGCCTACCCAGAAATCTCTTGGATAAGCAGATTTTCTGAATCAACAGCGTAGCAGGTGCATGTGTTTCGGGAGCACTCTGTTTCAGTAAATCAAACGGGAGAGTCCTTAACAGAGTACCTGAGTTTCCTCTAGGCCTTTTCTAAATCTTATTTAACCTCTAAGTAGAAGCCGGTTCCCAATAAGCTGTTTCCTCACATAATTCTCTAGTTCTGATAAGCCATATATAAGCATATTATAAGGCTTATATAAGGTTGCAATAACCCTTATGTTCTGGAAAGACGTGGTTGCAAATAACAATTCCTCCAGATTCAGATCGTTTTATGTGGGCCACTCCTCACAGCGTGACTAACGACCTGAGAGTATTCTATAAATCCTAGAAGCACAATTCCCCTCTTCTCCAAAACGAGTGATGTGCAGAATGATTACATAACCCTGAGTCCGCCTTGTGCCCCCTGTCTAGCGTTGCCTGAGCGTTTTCCGTAAAAACACAAGACCCCAGCATTCAACACAACAAAGGACACTGTGGTGGAGTGGTTATCACGTTCGCCTGCTATTCCTCGGAAAGTGTAAGCGGATGCCTTCGGGCGCGCGAGTTCGAATCTCGTCGGTGTCGTCTTTTTTGCTGGATTCATCAAGGGTTTAGGATTTAGCATTATCTCCATGTGTTCTTTACTTAGCACTGTAGGAAATGTGTCCTGAAACACCCATGTACGTGTGACTCATTAGTACGAGTCAGATACCGGGAATAGTGAGTCGTATAGACTCGCAGACGGGGACGGAAATTTCAGGAAGAGGAAATACGTGGAGTCTGGAGCGTCTGTGAATTCTAATTTTCCAGATGATGTAGAGAGCACTATGTAAAATAAGGACCCCCATCATGCGCGAAATGGGATATTCTTGAGAGAGGCAGTTTTTTAGACATGCTCAAACCCCAGGATGTCCAAACCCCAGGTCATCCTAACCGGGGACAAGACACCAAGACTCTGACACCCCCGCGAGACTTCAAGGAAAATATGCCCACCGTCAATCAGGAGTCGCTCTGGTAGCTCAGGGGTTAGAGCATGCGATTGCAGATCGCAGGGTCGATCGTTCAAATCGGTCTCAGAGCTTCATTTTGAAATCCTTTTTGACGTCGTTCTCAGCTTTGTCACGTATGCACTCGAGAATGGGGTTTTTTTTTTTTTTTTTTTTTTTTTGGTCGAGCTCAAAAAAAATTCTTGTTTTCGCGAAAATAGATCATCAGTGCGCAAATGCGATAGCCTTCGCCCCCGAGCCTGAGATCACACTCATTTTCATGTTCGTTGACAGGCGAGTATTGCTTCATTGTTTTTCTCGCGATCGGTGGTGGTTGGTCGTGGTTGTCATTATTGCGCTAGCTATTGGGCCCTGTAACGCTTAAGCGTGACAGATGTTTATCGATTCTAGAGCCCAAAGATTCTGGTCATACGACTCTATAATTCGAAACAATATAGGTTACGTATGCCATGCATTTGGCGGTTCCTCGTATGCTCGTAAATAGACTTCCCTCGTGTTGGTTGTAGTACTCTTTGTTTTGTGGAACCGAACGATATGTAGAGCGGGAAAGTCAGGAAGACTTTGAGAATGACGTAGGCTGCTATACGTAGCAGCCTAGCCATGTTAACACAGCTGGACAATAGTAGAGTGTAGGGTGTGTGATGTTTGGTTGAACATCGTGAAGATGGTGCGGATTGTTTTTTTGATTTCTTCGGAGCTGTGAATATTAATTATATATTTGGTGCGCGAGATACGCATCTATGATGTTGAATACGCAGGTACCAGACAACACTCATGCTGCGCACACGTTCCCAACTGGTGTGTGCTACCTACCCCGCGTATTCGACATCCTACCGGCGTATCTTTTAGCCCGAAGAAGACAACAAGGCAGGCAGCCTGGCGTGCATCAAGCGTGATCAGAAATTCAGCCGTTGTCCTGGGAATCAGCCTAGTAGTTCTCAGTCTTAGCTACAACCTCAGCAATAATGGGCCCTTAGTGCGATCGGGAATTTATTAAGTAATATGATCTAATATTGGCTCACGGAGATTTATTGTTTGGTGATTTTGTTTTTAGCGATGGACCTCGAAATATAGGGCGGATGAAATCGAGTGTGCAGGGTTCTGATTCTCAGCTAGAGTTGGGGAATACTTTATATTGAATTTCTAAGCTTAATTTACAGGTGATATAGTAGGGCCCTCATGTAGGGGACACTGTCCAGGAGGACATAGATCCAATTGCTATGTGCATAAAGTGGCCCCATATATTGGATGGACCCCACTCTACCAGATATATCAATATAACAATACTCAGCTCGCTCAAAGACTTGAATTTGAAGCAGTTTCTGGTCAGTTTTCCTGGAGAGGCGAGTTAGGAGTACTGTGAAATACGCTGACAGGATATAAAATACGCACACCGTTAACCTGAGTGAACAAGGGTAACACCTAGCGGAGGCCTAGGTACAAGCTAGTAGTCGAGATACACGAAATACATATTAATAATTCTGTATACTCCACCTGTACAGCCCGACGACCTCGCCCCGCAATTAAGACCACCTCGCCGTAACAGAATTCTGAAAACAGCAGATCCTACAAGGCCGCAATCATAATCATAGCCTATTCAAATTGCATCCAAGCGTTTAACTCGGAACTGCACCCGGATTTCAGCCCCAAGCTTCATTTAGCGAGTGTCGATCTAGCTACCGAATTGACTGTATATTGCCTAGGACCCCCCCCCCCCCCCGCGCGGCTAGCACTAGGAGGGCTAAGAGGGCTTTTGGCTCAACTTCCTTGATTAGATTCGATCGTGAATGTAGGCATTCTGTTTCTTTGTCATTTCCAACTAACGTTTTGTAGAGGCACTGCCACCGTGACTGATGCGATTGAGTTATATGACTGGCCAATTGCTAGAAAAGCAGAGTGACAAGATCCTGCAGGCAGAATAAAGGCTTGTGCCGCCAAGAAGTGTCAACATCCGGTAACAAATTGGACGATCTTTTCATGAGCCGTATGCAAGTGACGTGTAGAAACTGTTTGAATTTTATCCTGTGTTTGTAATAGAGTCGATGTTTTGAGGCATCAAATCCAGAGAGTTACTATAGATCTACTTATTATGTAGTCATACCTTAGGCAAGTAGGTACAGTACCTACACGCTTGAGTCAAAAAGTTATTTCGGAGTTTGAGTAATCATTTATTCGGTTGTGCGAATGTAATCGTGGCCGGCGGGGATCTTCTGTGATCTGTGAATAAATAGATCTCGAGCCGTCGACGCCTCATGTATGTGGCGCTGAACAGCTAGAGCAGCCATATATCAGGCAGATTATCAGTTGTGCCTCTAGATATTTATCGACCTCGATGGGACCAGCGCATCTATATAAAACTTCGCATTTGATCTTTTTTCGTGGGGGCTTAAGGGGTGGCTTCCAAAATGTTGCACCGCCTCACACCTTCACTCAACACCGTGGCTTCTGGACCCCACGCAAACGGGTCATATTATGCTCCCAGGGTGTATGCAGGCACTTTATGCATAGAATAACGCTGTGACATGTGGGTCACACGTGGTAGAAAGCGAAGGTTCATATGGTGCGTGATGTGTGTTCGCTAACCTCATCACTAATATTGCGTACACGCCTATGAGTCAAAAAGACCAGCATTTACGTGACCTTAAGATGCTGCGGCTAGGAAGGAGAATGGAAGAACGGAAACAAGGCCAGTAGGATCTCTAGCCTCAACTCTTCTAATTGCGGGACCAATAGATCTTGTACGCAGGGAGCCTTGACGAGCAACCATCCTTGACGAACAACCATCCTCACTCACTCAAGCTCGAGTCGCTGATTTAATCTTGATCAGACGCAGGTACGATGTCTCGAGAATGATCGCTGGTCAGGGCTGAAGCACCATACAGTTACACCACATACATTCATTGCCCATACTTGATGACTGGTTGAGGCGCTGTTAAAGCAGGGCCAGCCACAGGCAGCCAAATGACCGGACCCTGCTCCGATGAGTACGGACGTCACAGTCGGACCGGTATTATTGGGTACGGCCTCATTGTTGGACCGCTACCGACTCACCGTGCAACCCGTTCAAACCGGTATCGTTACCACCACCCTTAACTTAAAGCAGTCACGGTTTGTAAATATATCTGTGCCCATAGAGGGAAACAAGCAAAGGAAAGAGTCATATCCTTGCGCTGAATAATGAGTTAGTTCGCCGATCCAATATTCCGAAACTCTCCAGGCAGAAGTATCGCCTCAATAAGGTGCATTTCGCTTAAACTAAACTGCTAAGCCTGGGGTCGGTAGGAAAAAGAAAACAAAAACTCTTCCAGATGATAGGTGCGAAAAGGGAAATTTCCAGTGCGCATTAGGATGCGTATGCAGTAACGGTTGCTGGTGCTGATGCTGTGAGGATCAAGGGGCCATTCGAGTCGAGGATCCCCAAGGCTTGGCTCAGACGTGAGACGAACGATCCTCACCTCCACCACCACCACTACCACCACCCCCCCGCGCCTCACATATATATTGCTGCGGTCCTGGGAATCCTTTATAAAGAAGACTCTCTACCCTCGTGCTCTACCTTTTTTTTTTTTACTATTCCACATCTACTACTACTACTACTCCACATCACAATAACACTCGAGTCTCAAACAAAAGCCAAAAGCTACTAGCTGCAAATATTACTACCACCGCTACTACTACCACCGCACTCTACCACAAACCTTTAAACATGCCTCCAAGCGGACCACCACCAAGGCCTACTCCTCCCCGTCTCGGGACTCCTGATATCCCAGACGCCCCAGCAGGAATGTTTTCTTGAATTGTATGTTTGTTTTTATATACACTCTCAACTCAACCCACGGACGAACCGGTCAACTCATACAGTAGTCGAACAGTCGTCCGATTTTTTCATAAATCCGTTTTTTTGCAACAGCACAGCAACAAATTATTCCGCTCCACCGATTGCAGCGTCTCTCCACTCGTGGCCTCTCGACGTTCAGGATGCATTGAGCTTTGTCTCTGCAACTCCGTTTTGAACGATCGATAGTGACCGATAGAGTCTCGTCCAAGCATCGATTCATGATGGAATTCCTTTTATTTTACAGAGGATATAGGGGAGGGGGGAGGGGGGAGGGTCAAAGGGGGAGGTCGAAGAGGGCGGGGAGGATCCAGGAGAGGGGAGGAGAGAGAAGGAGCAGGGAAAAGGGATGGTGAAAAGTCGACGGGAAGGAGCTATGGAGTTTTCTCATTTGATTTTTCTTGTTTTTCTTTAAGCCTGCATACAGTGCTACATGTGGTCATGTTGTCACTGTTTCATGGGTGTCACGGGTGTCTTGATGGTTCTGTTTCTTCTTTTTAGTCTTCTGTCAGATTTCTTGCTGTGCATCATATTTTTTTAGTCAAGCATTTGGTCTCAATATACAACCTACAAAACGCATAAAAAGCCATTCCCGTCCACTAGATCATAGCTTACCTCAGTCCCAAAACTTGCTTGACCCAAACCCGACAGCACGGCGGTCGGGCCCGTTGCGCAGCTCTCACTCTAACTCTCAGCTCCCAGGCTGTGTGCACGTGGAGATGCGGCTTAGATGCGGCTCAAATTATTAAGGCTGATCGTTGGCCAAGGTCACAGGGGCAGCATTGTGACGCGCCAAGATTAGTAGCTGGGCCAGTCAGCCTTATGTACCTACATGTACCCACCCCTACATGATGTCCTGTGTATGTACGAGCATGTACGGAACGAACGGTGAGACGACGTTTCTACCTTACCACCAATGCAATGTCAATGCAACCCCCCCAATGCAACACCAAACTAACCGGGTTCTGCTTGACAACCGTTGACAGTCTGTACAACCATCGAGAAATGATGACAATTAAAACGGAATTCAGTGCTTGTGTCAAGTGAGATTACCTGCCCTCTAGCTCTGTCATGGTCCGTCATGTCCATTCCGCCTCGTAGTAACAAAATAGAAATTAACCATCGTTCTATGTAGCTTCCATGCCAGCCTCGGAGACTTATCGGCGCTTTATGCCAGGAGTACCTACGATCCACTAGTTACATAGCTAGTTGGGCCAATAGATAAGGACTTCGCTATATAAAGGGTTCCTAATGTTCGGCGTCGTGTTCGTATTTTGGTTAGCTGCTGAGTACAAGTACGTACTGGGATATGCTCAGGAACCTCAGGTTTTATTACGAAGCTGTCCTTCCGCCCATACGCCATACTGTGAGTATTTTGACGCCAAAATAAGGGGCTTTCACCGTGGAACAATTAATAGAATCAGATTCAACAGCACTGGTGACCCCCCCTTTCCCACATGTCAAGAATTAAGGTTCCAATATTCTCAACCCATGCCATGACCATGGACGAGGGCATTTAGTCAGCCTAACAACCAACAATACTAGATGGCAATACCACGCCGTAATATTATCCCGGCGTTAACTAAACCACGGCATAGATAAAAGTCTCACATCCACGGAGTCGGATAGAGCGCCGATAGCAATAGTGCTATAGCTAGCAAACGGCCAGGGGGTTGGGGAAGAGGGCGGCGGAGATCACGGCCAAGATCCGATTTGCTTTGACCCGGGTATGTGTTCGTATGGCGGAGATGTACCTCCTGTTCCAATGGAGTGGTTCGGGTAGATGTATAGGTATTGTGTGAACGGATTAGATGAGTTGGCCCCCATTGGGGGCCGTGGTCACAGATTTACTTCGTTTGGTGGCGACGCGTGGATCAACTGAGATCGGACATGAGCGATACTCTGGTTAAGGAGCGCAGCGAAAGTTTGTTGCTTGTGGTCGCTATATCGTGCAATCAAAGTGGAAAGTTTCGGGATAGATGGCGTCAGTCCTACTCCGAATCTATTGCATGATATAGGAAACAGACATGAAGCGATTAAAGTCCTTCTTATTTACTTGTCTGCTCACACATCTGCTCACTACTCACTATAAATCTTATATCACACGGTAGTTGTTTGTGCTGTGTGCTCACAGTTTATAATATTGACGTTTTCATAACTGATGTCTTCACCCCGACTGCAACCTCCCGGCCGAGCAGAGGATAAGGAATTACATGTGTCAATTTAAGTAGAAGAACGATGATCTAGAAGATAATAAGGCTCCTTGACCCATAACGACTTGCAAGGTCTCGTGTCCTCCCCGATGCTGTCTAGAATGTTCTCCCAAACTCTATTTCAAAATTTCACTTGCCGTGTACTCGGTTGCCAGGGTAGCGTGCTTCGTAACACCAACACCAAAATCGTCACCACGAAACAGTTTGCAACAAAAACCAACAACCCATAACCCCGAACCACAGCCAAATTTTTTTACAAAAGAGAGTAGATAGAGTTCAGTACCAAGGATTCCCACATGGTCACCCACTGCAGTACTAACTTGGCGATATGTTGCTTATGTATGGCAGAGCGGACGGGATGCCCAATTTTCAACATTCTATGACTGAACACGGTGGAATGAGTAGATTGTGGGATTTATTTGTGGTTAGCTAACTGAAATTACGAGTGAGCGACGCCGAAATGAATGATAGTACTTATAGAGAAAATATCGTATTTTAAGGATGGGTGTTGGTCTCCTCCGTCCTTAAGTTTCTGAACTTTCGTTATCTTTGGGTTCATGGCGAACCCGGTCAACTACGAATGATAAAAGCACACCGGCCCATTTGCCTTGACCAGGGCGAACCTCTACGTTCCAGTTGACTAAAACTCTATATTCGCAATGCACAAATCTCGCCATTGGCCCGGAAACAACTCTGCGAGCCTCTATGGACATTATGGTTAAGCTACGGTTTAAATGAGTAAAGGCACAGCCTATGCCCGGCCTTACCGAATTTTTAGCTACATCCTAATATTGAAATAAGGATTATTCACCATATAAGGCCCGTTAATTGCTATTTAGGCATGTTTAAGGATTGATGTCCCGCGAAGACTGCTTGTATCATAAACCAAATTTTTGACTAAGGGCTGGTTTAAGCTTATATTTTCTGCCATTCTTAAAGAATTCCGAGTGGCTAAAAACGCTCCCTTGGTGTGAGCTGCTTTAAGAGCCGGTTGCCAAACCCAACCACTCTGCATGTACTCAAGACTCCCAACCTCAACCCTATCAAAACCAACGCCTAGCTACCCAAATCTAGGCCAAAAAATTCATAAAAATATGAAGATTGAGTTCAGTACTCAGGATTCCCACATGGTCACCCACTGTAGTACTAACTGAGCGATATGTTGCTTGTGTATGGCAGAGCAGACGGGATGCCCAATTTTCAACATTCTATGACTGAACACGGCGGTTTGGCAGACTCTCTGGAATTTATATGAGATTTCCCCTAGTAAGCGTGATACTGTGTTGTTTTAGTACGAACCTAGAAGAAGCCACGGCCACTGGTTGAGGGTTACAGGGAAATCCTCATCCTCGTCTGGTTCTTTATGACGTCTACATGTCGATCAGCCTCTGGGGTTATGACTCGTCAAGCCATATTCCGGCCAAATAAAACACATATTATATCACATTATTCTGGAAATCAGGACAGCCTTGGCAGAAGTATCCGCCTTCTTCTGCTTCATCGAATCAAGTAGTGAAAAGTCGAGGGCAACTCAGTTGTTCTGGTAGCGCTGCTTCATTGGCACAATAGACGGTGCTATGTACTTTTTTCTGTAGTACTAGAATGACTCGTTTTATGGCGAACTTGGCCTCTTTGATGTAATCTTCCCTTCCTATCAAGTTGTAATATTAACTCCAAGGTAATTGTTATCACCATCTGTAGTTTTGTACGTTATTCGGACATCTACCATCGCATTATCTAGAATTAAGAACACTTACGTGCTCCTTGGCTGGTTTCAAGGGCATCACCTCGAACAACAGTCACCTACACCAGCCCCTCGTCTCGTCTTGTCTAGTTTCAGTCGAGTTTCGAAAGCCTCGAGACTTTTAGTATACCTTCGTGATGATACTTTGTACCGAAAGGACGGTGATTATTGAGCCTTTGATTAGCGAAAAAATGTTGTGCACAAATATTTAGGAATAATTGCCGTCATAAAATATCACTCGAAAATATTGTTTGTGGAAGGTGTCTCGTCAAGTCTCGAGATAATTCCTCAAAGCTCTTGCAATAGAAATAGAAACCCCAGCAGACCGCCCCCTTGCCCCTGAACGGTTTGGGGGCAGGGCACCACCCCAGGCCGAACTAAAGATCTGGGCTTAACGCCCTCGTATTCAAGCCGGGCCAGACCTCGAACTCTGGCTACTTTATGACCATGATCAATAAAGATTAGATACGCATGACTTGAACCTTTCAGGTGTTCCATACGTGCTTTCATTAACCATCAAAGATTATATCAACCAGAATAACATACACATCGCTTCTGACTCGAGGCCAATATAACTGTTGGGCGTGGACTGATACATTATATGGGCCAGTCAGGCCAGGCCAGCACATTCATCGTAGGCCAAGGCTCTAGTGATGAATCCTGTCCGGTCTAGCCCATCAAGAGGCCCGATCATGGTGTTTTCCTTGGCGGCCACGATACACCTATAATCTTTGCCACTAGAGAGTTTACCCTAACCCTAATTTCTTTTATACTCAAATCGAATCATCACCTTCGTTCTTGGTTGGTTCCGACGTTAGCCTGGGTGTTGGGCTTGAGAAGAGGCGCTTTGTATGTGAAGAATTATTTCAAGACTTAGTTCTCGAAAGTGGTATTATTATACAACTATACTAGCTAGCTATACCGGTTCTAGTTATGGGCGGCTGGGCCTATGTGTAACTACTGGACCCAATATTACTCGGAAAACCTGACTTAACTCTCATGGAAGATGCTTCGGCGATTTGAGTATATACCCTGAGAATCCATCTTATCACCTGGATTGATATACCAACAGTATGAGAGTCCTCGAACTGTGACGCCGAAGTAGCTCAGTATCTAGCTAGGTTTATTTGGCCAGATGACAGTAGTCCAACCGGCCACAAAGCACGAACCCGGAGCTCTAACTAGGGGGAGAATACAGTGGGAAGAACGTATACCTCAACTAATTGCTTGAAATTCTCAACTAGAACCTTTTACTCGGTAGGTCTGCTAAATGGACTCTGGACTAGATTGAATTAGGTTCTACACATTAAGACTGTGGTCTAATCCGTGTTTCCAGATCCCATAAAAACGTGATGAGTACAAGTAGTAGGTAGCATAATTAGGGATATGTCTGTTCGGCCATATCGATATCTTCTTTCACCCTTCCATCCGACATATTTGAAGAAGGAGTCAGGTTGGTAAAGGAACAAAATACTGCTTGGAAAACTTTTCTCTATTATTGACTCTTATGGTCCAAAACCTGTCTTCAATAGCGAGCCAGATAGAACCGCTCCAGCTACTCTATTTTTCTCCAGATATATACCAGAAGACCGACCGACCAACCGTACGGGAATATAAGTCCTCCGAAGTCAGGAAAACGACCAGATAGTGGATCGAACTGTTTAGCTCATGAGCGGGCTTTTTATCCTCTGGCTGGCTGATATCCCGAGTTTATTTTGATTCGATATATCGTTACCATCTGGCTAATCAGGGGAGTTGCTTTTTTCGACGCAGATCTTACTAGAGGACGCTCTTGATAATTCTGGCGGTCAAGTCTATACCTAACTCTAGAGCAACAAAGACCTCAGAACTGCACTACCGACGCGATCCCACACTGCCGTTATGCAATTATCGAGACCTCCCTCTCGTATTAATAGTGTAATGGCTGATCACCCACCTGCTGGTACCTGTCGGTCGGCACAGGCTTTGCATTTGAGCGGCTAACCGCCTGGCTTCGCAAATATAACCTACCCCGCCTGCGAGTCCATGTCTACTAATCGGCCAGCCAATCAGGCAACTAGATAGAGTAAACGATTTAGTACAATAACTAAACCCATATAAGCATAAGTGCTTATCGCCCAAGCAGGCTCCAAAACAGGAAGGTCTACTATTTCAACATCTCAATCCACAACATGTATTTACAATTTACTCATCACTATCCACTATCACCACCACCCCTCTCTCTCTCAACTTCCAGTATACGCGTTTCTCTGAGTCAATTTTAGGCCCGTCGTCATCAGTTTACGGGCGCACACATACGCACACGATCTCAGTTCTAAACAACTAAATCTTGATTACAGCCAGAACTGTGAGTGATATCCCATGACCCATCTGCTCCGAAACCCGAAACGAATTGCCCGTTGCGGAGCGACGAGGGGGGCTGTTTGGTTTCAATCGTACAAGGGGTGCTCTTCTCGAATGGAGACCGAGAGACAGGCAGGGATCGGGGATATACCAGCAACCCACAAGCAGAACGCGCGTCGCAGGTTCAGTTTCTCCCCATAACATTCCTTTTCTCTGCCAGTGCTGCTGTTGCCTCTCCTTTCGTTTTTTTTTTTGTTTCTGCAGCTTGCTTGCGTGTTCGCAAGAAGGTAATCAACAAATTATCAACCCCAACCAACCAAACGCTCATTCAGCCCACCACCAACTCACTCATTACCAGTCATCGTTGATAGGCCGCGCAGATAGCTAGATAAAAGAATTGAAGAGTGAAAGGGAAAAAAAGAAGGATGACGGACGCGGATGGCTACTTCAGTCCACGAAACCATCCTCAGCGGATTGTATATATTTCCGATGATTCCGACTCCGACCTAGATCCCGAGATTTCAGATTCAGAGATGGAGCCCATTGGTGAGAGGACACCGCTTTTCAGGCCCCCTACGGACAATTCAAAACGGAGTAGTCCGTCGCTTCCTTCGCCTCCATATAACCACTCAACGACAACTTACGGTAGCACACCCACGGGGAGGATAATGGGTGGTGGAGATCGCTCGTTCAATGATGCAATAGAAGAGGAGGATGCGGCCCCTCCGTATTATAGTGCCGATCATGCGCAGCAGCACGTGTGTACCGAGAATTGCAACTGCGGGGCCCGAGCAAGCGCGCAGGCGGTGTCAGAAGATAAAGGCTGGAGGCGCCCAGATATCATCCGAGACCCTTGGGGAACGTTTGAAAGGATCAGAAAGGAAAACTCCACGAGCGAAATTTGCAGTTGGATCTTCATCCGGATAGCATTTGTGTTTCTTGCATCGTTTCTACTCACAGGAATGTTTACCATGAAACGGCACGGTCATGGTGGAGGGCCACCGGGCAGACCTCATCCAGGGCCGCCCCCAGGTGAACCTGGGCGAGAGGTTTGGGCTTATATTATCTGGATAGTTAGCTACTATACTGACACTGTGTCGGTTCTGTTTAGTGGCCGGACTTTAACGCATGCCCTCCTGGGCCGGGGCAGGATTTCTTCGCCAAGAAGAAATATGTATTTTCTGGCCCGAGTTCGTTTGCATTTTCGGAGATATCGACAACGGATCCCGAAGCTTGGGATCACGGCGGACATATTCAGGTGCTTGGCGATGTATTCGTGCAGGGCGTTGAGGACTTAAAAAGTGTTACTGTCGATTTTGAGGTCAAGACGACGGAGAGGGAGTTGGGGGACAAATACAGTATTGATATGAATGAAGAAGGGATTGTCTTCAAGGTAGGCCCAAAACCTCGACGCGCCCTTTTAATATGAATATTCACAGGCTACAGACGGATAGAACTCCTTTCAGAGGCCATCGTGGCTGTATTGAAGTACGGGCGACAATTTCAGTCCCACTTCAAAAACCCGGATTCCCGAGGTTTTCCTTGCGCACTGAAGGATTAAACGTGATTTTGCAACCATCATTGGACCTTGTAGTTAACAACTTATCACTCGAAACCATAACGGGTAGTGTTATCACAAGATCAGCCTTCGGTGTAGAGTCAAATAGGACAGTGATTATCATTGACTCTGGTAATATTGATGGTGATTTCGGGCTCCATGATTTGGTCCATCTGGAAACAAAATCGTAAGTATCACCCTTCCACGACAGAGTTCTATTGAAAACTGTACTAAGTGGTAATCTGCAGAGGGAGCATAACTGCAAACGTCATTCCTCAAGACTCAAACTCCCATATCGCTGAGTACGTTGCAGTGACCATGTCAGGCCACATAAAAACGATTTTCCCCAGAGATACAGCTATCCTTCCGCAGGGAAGAAGCTACCGATCAAAAGTTGATACCGTCAGCGGTTCCATCAGCGGTGATTACGTACTTGGAGAATCCCTCTATCATGGTACAGTGAGCGGAAGTATTACAGCTTCCATAACCGCCACCGGTGAAGGCCATTCGACCCTTATCACAGACACCAGACAAGGCTCCACCAACATATCATTTACAAACCGTCTAGGAAACGGAAATAAAGGTCTCATCGCAAAGCACACATCTATAAGCGGGCCGGTTAGAGTTGAATATCCGGGGGATTGGGAGGGTGTCGTTACTGGAAATAGTATGTCCGGCTCAGTCCGCATCACGGGTGAAGATGTAGTCATTGTGGAGGACAGAAAATGGCCTGCTGGCCGTTTTGTAAAGGGCGTAAAAGGTTCTGGAGAGTACGGAGGAACATCGGAGTGCAGCGCAGTCAGTGGGTCTGTCAGTGTCCTCGTAGCCACGTCATGAGTAAAGTCGAAGATAGTGAGTTTTTACCTATAAAAAGTTGTAATTAATGAATCATATATGCTGGGTGTTGCATATGAATGAAGATATGTATTTCCTTACTGTTTTCATGATTTATTTTCTTTTCCCAACCCCTCTTTCACTCTCTCATACACCAAATGTTTTGCAGTGTTGTAACTTTCCTATTCTCGCCAATTGTTTAAGTGGCTGGCTGGATTGGTAGGGATGCAGAATGCAGTGACAGTAAGGCAAAAACAAAATATAAAGGCATACACATCAAATCATATAAGAGGTTGGGCAAGTTCATATGATGACCATGTTTCGGGAATCCCCAAGCCAACGGTTAAGCAGGTACCGTTCCGTGCGTACATCAACGACTTCTTCTGCAAGTCTCAGTTGTCACCACGTGAAGTGCAATTGATTTGCGCCGTTTGCATTTATGTATGTAGTTTCCTGCCCCTGTCGGGAACATTTACCCCTTGCATGATCAAGAGGGGCCTGAGATCTTCTTTCACCCTCGCCCTATTGTTAGGTGGCCAAAAGCCTAACCGAACATTAACAGTAGGCACACAAAAATACCTTGTTGCCTTAGATGTACAGTAAATACGCTTCCTTCAGCGCTGGTACCTCTCAGGGGTTTCTCTGTGTACCATCATATTTAGCTGACATGTCCTTGAAACCGAGGGAAAAAAAACTTTGCATCTGACAATACTTTAATTTCCACTTTTCTGTCCAATGACACAATTTGTCGGCTTCGCCACTTGTTGATAAGAGCCTTTGTATGGCTCTTCATTGGACCTGAGGCCTGAAACGAAAGCTTGTTCTTGAGCCGCAGTAAGAGTAGTGTTACAAAATCTCGCATGCACTGGTAAGTTGTCGCCTATCGTTCGCGAGCGGCTGTAATTAACGTCACCGCCCCCAAATGAGTAGTGCTGAAGCTGAACAGAGAAAGATGCTGAGCTGTAGGGATCTATTGGTCCATGTAGTTAGATTATTGGCTGATCAAACGAAGCTATTGGCTAGCTTGGAAAAATAGCCACTCAGGAGAGGCAGGATCCTTGTCCGAATGTGGCATTTTCTCTTTCCGTGAACGGCCAGGCGCGCGCCTCCCTACCACATTCCAGAATAGTTTCCAGCTTCGTATTTTTCCCTTCAAGCCACAAATATTCATAATCCAGTTCCTTCTGCTTTTAAGTAGCTTGCATTCCCGTCACTTAGAATCCATCAGAACCAAAGTCAATTGCAAGTCAATCGACCACCCTCAACAACCCACTCTCACTTTCACTTTAAATACTTTCTTCCATCCTATTTTTTCCCTTCTTAATCTACCTAGTGTAGCCCTTTTTTGTAATAAACTAAACACACTTTTTTGAAAAAATGCGTTTCTTGGCAATTTTACTCCTTTCGATCTCAGCAAGTCTGGTATCTGGCCATGCCCGTATCAAGTCGCCCAAGCCCCTCGACGCTCCTGTTGAGGACCCCACCGGTAACGCCTACAATGCACCTCTCAACCCAGATGGTAGCGATTTCCCTTGTAAACAGCTCCACAAGAAAGCGGGTGTTGATATGACACCCACTGAATCATGGGCTGCTGGGTCAAGTGCTTCTTTTGAGTATGTATTATCTCAATTGGAGCTCCAATGAATATATATTAATCTGTAATTTGAATAGAATTCTGGGTCATGTTACTTCCGGCGAGGGTGCTCTGGCAGCACACAGCGGAGGCAGTTGCCAAGCATCGTTATCCTATGACAACGGTACCACATGGAGCGTGTTGAAGTCATTCCACGGAGGGTGCCCAAGAGATGTCACGCTCAATTCAAACTTGGCTGGACCTGATCAGGTCTTCCCGTTCCCTATCCCTGCTGAAGCTAAGGCCGGAGCCGCTCTTTTCGCCTGGTAAGTTTATTTTGATAAACCGATTTTTCTATCATTTATATAGAGCTAATGGTTTGAAATTTAGGACATGGACAGCTGTAACCGGTAACCGTGACGAGTTTTATATGAACTGCGCATCTGTTGAAATTACTGGTTCCGGCACTAGCACACTTGAAGACTACCCAGCGATGTATGTCGGCGATATGAATATTCCCGGACAGATTGCCACAGGTGAATGCCGAAGCACAGCAGGAACTGCTTTGTTGTACCCCAACCCTGGAACCGAAGTAGCAGAGGTCACAGTTGCCGGAATTCCATTCAAGGAACCGTCAGCAGGAAACTGCCACGCTCCCGGAAGTGCAGGAGGATCTCCAGGTGCCAGTTCTTCTGTAGCTGTTCAGCCGACTGCCACTTCTAGTGCTGGTTTTGGAAAGACTTCTACCATCGCTGTGCTGCCCACTTCTACTGCTCTCGTCGGAACCTCTACCAAGGGTTATGGATCTCCCGATTATGGCGCGACTACCAGCTCCCCGAGCGTACAGCCTACCACATCTGTTGCCGTGGATGCAGGCTCTAGCTCTGGCGACAATGGCTTCAACACTCCTATAGAAACTCCCACAGACTACAACCAGCAGCCAACCACCACCGCAGATACAGTTGAAGCAACTGGTGCTCCATGCAGCGACGGCCAAGGAAACGGGCAGATGACTCAGGCTCCCACTGGCGGAAACGGCGGCTCAGGTGGATATGGCAAAGGCAGAGGCGGTTCCCCAACTACCTTGGTCACTATGACCTCCGCACCTCAGCCTTCTTCTTCAGCCGGTGTAGAGGGAGTTCTTGGTGACAGCGAGGAGGTGGATAGCGAGGGTACTGCTTCGACTACTGCTGCTAGTGGATCTGGTAGCTACGGTGGTGGTTACGGTGGCGGTTACGGTGGTGGCTACAGACGTGCTAGACGCGCTCGCCGCTAGATCGCAATCTTTCAGTAAGGGTGTTTCTTCCTCTTTTATAACTGTATCTTGTAAATAGTTTTTTTTTTTTTATGTCTTGGCCTCTCTGGTAGGGCTTTCGGAGTTTCTCCTTGTTGAGGGTGTTTCTCTACATTCATTTCTTCGGGTTCTGGAGTAAACCTTGGTTTAGCAGGCGCTTTTCTCATTTGTTTTTTTTTATTCTTCTTGGGAGGCATACTTACCTTACTTTCTAAAAAAATATATCTACTTTTCAGATGTAGTTGTCGTCCGCCATGAGACATGTGTGACTTGCCTTAGACAACCCAACTAGCGCACGAGTGATTTTAGGTGAACCTGCCTGGCCTTGGCAGATCTAGATGCTTTAACCTTCCCCCAATGATGATGTGCTTGGCGCGAATCATATCTGGGGGATAAGCTTCCACTTGTAACTTGACTTCTTGTGTCAAGGCCTAGAACTAAAAACGCTTTGGAGTGAGTAGCTAGGAACTAACTTCATCGCTATCAGTCAGTAAAGTCACATTTCAAAGAACTCCAATAAAACTAACCTCTATATCCAAGAATTTTCAACGAGTAACCTCTGTTGCGTGCTCTAGGCTGATACTCCGTAAAGCTGCATTCACAGCCATGTCAAAAACAGAGGTGTGCCCCCTCTTATGCTTACGTATAGAGGACGAAGCTATCCCCTCAAAGCACCAGTAAGTCAGTCAGTCATCAACAACGAACTACATGAAGAGCAATCGACGTCGGTGCACTTACACATAACCACACTCCATCAGAGCTCCCTACAGAGCACTTGCTCCTTGCATAGTCCTAGATACCCATTTCTCACGGGGGAAGGGATGATATGATTTGATGAATCTAGGCATCGTAAAGAAAGTGAAGTAAAGTGAGGGTGCAGTTCCGTGTCGTTGTCTTGGTGCATATCTAGTCCCACGCCCAGACCCGACGTGCGTAAATCGGGACGGGACTAAACCCAAACCTTAATTTCACGTCGTTCGGTCGAGCTGTAGCTGGTAGTACGTCATCACTACCACCACCGAAGAGATATATATACGGAGATAAAGCCTTTTATTATTGTTAGCTCCGACTATTCTTAGGTTTCTGGGGAAGGGTATAAGAAGAATTAATCCGGGGACTGGTAAAGCCTACCCTTCTACCGATGCCTAGGATAAATTTCCCTGATTCAATATGCTGTGAAGGACAAAATTAAATCGCAATATGCAGAGTAGTATAGTAATCCAATCCACATATAGGCAATTCAATTAACCAAGCAGGATATATATCCGCCAACCAATGAAGAGCGACGCAACCACATCGATCACAATCACAAGTCTACAATTCACATTCCCAAACCTAGACTCCTACTATTGTGGTGTATATAAAAAGATTCATGTTTATTTGTTTCCGTAGTACCCATAAAGACACTCAGTTTTACAACCGATCACCTGAGCCATGAAGTTATTACAACTGCCACCACTCCCCCCACTACGACCCAAAATAATGAAGACAAGCCGAACCAAACATCGAGGGGAAAAAAGTAAAAGAATAAAAAATTTAGAGAGGAAAGCAGCACCCCCACACCCCCAAAAAGTAAAGGTTTAAGGAGGGGAGAGGTAGAGGAAAATACATGTATTATCACTTTCCGGACCTTCGTTAGAGTATTCGATAGTTTCCCTTACCAAGAGTTAGAAAAAAGATAGAGAGGGGACACAAAAAAAAGGTTGGAAGAGTGTTTGTGCTTCTTGTTAACTACTGGATCATACAAACACCTTGTTTCTCGTCTCGTCTCACATTTCATCTTCCCATAAAACAGTAAAGAAAAATACCAATAAGAAAAAAAAAGTAAAGGAAAGAGAGAGAGAGATACAACTAGCACGCGCATCCCTCCTTGGCCGCTCTGGTTGCGTCTGCCATGTTGACCGCATGACTGTGTCCCTCGTTGGCACTAGATCTGGCACCGCCGCCCATCCCAGTTCCAGCACCGCCCCTCGGCTTCAATGTGCTTTCAGGAATGGCATTTGCGATCGCCTCAAATACGGCCTGCACATTCTCTCCAGTCTTCGCACTGGTCTCGTAAAAGAGCAAGCTCTCCTCCTCTGCATACGCCTTTGCCTCAGAGGTAGGGATAGCTCTGCGATCTTCATTCTCCGCATCATCGACATCGTCTGCGTTTGCAGAGATGGCATTGCTTGAGGCAAGATCGAGCTTGTTCCCAACCAAGGCAATGACAATACCGGGCGAAGCTTGGCGCTGGAGCTCAGCTACCCAGTGCTTAGCTTTTGTGAGGGAGGTAGGCTTGGTGATATCGTAGACAACAAGCGCAGTTTGGGCATTGCGGTAGTACATTGGCGCCAATGAGGCGAAACGTTCTTGGCCAGCAGTATCCCTGAGTACGTGTTAACATCCACAAACATTTACACGGGTAGCACATGTGGTGGTTTACCAAATCTCGAATTTAATAGTTCTTGTTGGAAGGTTACACTTCTGGGTCAAGAAAGCGGCTGCAACGTTCCCAAAGTCAGTACCAACCAGGACACACTAGTTCAAGGGAAGGGCTGGGGTGGAGAGGAAGGGAGAGGGGGCGTGTGCATGCATACCTCCGATAGTGGGTTCTTTGTTCTCCTGGAAATCATCATTCACGAAACGAAGAACGAGAGAAGACTACAACAACCACACTAACTGTCAGCTTTCTTGTGACTTAGAACACCGCCCCCCCGCCCATCCACCAATATGCGACAGCTTATCTCTCAGCCCCTTATCTGACCCGAGCTCATCCGAGCAGCATCTGCAAGCATAACAGATGCGGGCAGTTGGGAGGGTGGGCTTATGTATGGACTGGAGGACTAACCTTTCCAACAGCGGCCTCTCCCAGAAGCACCAGCTTCACGCTGCTGCTGAGCTTTGGTGCACCTGCTTCTTCGCGTGACGCCATGTTACTTAGTTACAGTGCCGGTGTTATTGATTGCTATTGGTTCTGCTGTGGGAAGGGTCCGTTGGGTAAATAGTGACCGATTATGTTACGATACCGAGTGAGCTCGAGAGTGATATATAGAAGGTATCTCTGCGGAGTGGTTGTGGGAGGATGAGGTTCGGAGGTCAGAAGAAGTTGGAATGTTGCGAGCGATTGAAGTTGGATGGATGGTGACGACGGGCTAAGGGTGGCTGACGACGGCGCTAGCTAATGATCAGCCACAATGGCCACATTATCTAATACAGCACTCCTGAAGATCGCTTGTTACCCTGCCGATGTTTTACTCAACCAAAGTCTTGAGTAACATTGAAGCCAAGGCCATATGGCCTCCCAAATACCCGGTGTCCTAGTATTACTCTCCATGTCACCGTTGACTAGGATAAATTTAAAACTGCATTTACTCAAAAGCCATATGAAGAGTAATAGAAGATTTTAGCTGTGTGGTTCGAACAGGAACTCATGCACGTTGCAACCAATATGCAATAGGAATTGCAGGAATTTCTGTCCAAATTCTCGAGATCCCATATTAAAAAAACACTCTAATAAGAACTAAGCTCTTCTTCGCCAAGTTAATCGAGAACTACTATGTATCTACAAGTTTTATACCGTAAATAACAGCCCCAAACCAAAAATTCCGTCATGGAAAATCACTCGTAACCTTCTCGAGTTTTGAACAAAAACTAGAAACTAACAAATTCTGACGTGTTCGTTCATAGAATGTTGAAAATTGGGCATCCCGTCCGCTCTGCCATACACAATCAACATATCGCCTAGTTAGTACTGCAGTGGGTGACCATGTGGGAATCCTGGGTAACGAACTCTTTTTGCTCTATTAGAGCCCTCCCTATTTTATTGTTGATTAGATGCACATTCTTTTTTGCTGACTGATGGTGTACCTATAGGTGGTTTTATCTACGGTGGTGAACGATGCCTCTTTGCAGGCGGCAGCTCTTGCCGAACTTTTTTATCTTGTCCAATTCTTAATAAAGCTGCTTCGATCGCAACGTACTTCACCTGGCATCTTGCCTGCGTTTACGATATAGCCGCCTTCTTTCGAACTCGAATCAACTAAACAAAATATAGAATCTGAAAAGTAAATCCTACATTAGATAAATTGATTTGAGAACGACAACGATATTTTACTTGGCTTCAACGGTATTGGTCCGGGTTAAGATGTCCTACATATCTCCCTGAAATAAAGCAATTTTTCTCATTCAATAGAAACAATAGATATAAAGAATTTAGCATAGCTTGACTAACAGACACCGGCTTCCTAGCCACTAGCACCCCATAAAACTCGTAGAAGACAGAAATGATTAAAACTGGCAACCCGGACATACCATTGCATGAATGGTTCTTATCCACATCATTAGTGAGCTGGCGAGATTGAAATCAAAGTCTCAAGACTCTGGTGGGGCTTTCGAACTGGTTTGTACTATGATTTGAAAATCATGGCTACGATTTAGATCAGTGAAATTGAATTTCAAATCGATTCTAATCATAAACTAAATGATGTTTAGATTTGAGATACGTTTTATGGAAGGAGGTAGTCCCAAGGGATAATGTGTGGACCCTAGTCTAGTAAAAGAGTCTGCTAAATGTCCTTTCAGCGCATGATTTGAATTCGAATCGATTTCCTACGGTGGATAAGTCAAATCATGGTTTTGACTTGAGGCCGGCAATTCATGAATCATGATTGCATTGGGTCTAGGTGCCTAGGTCGAATCAAATAGAATCATGGAGTACACTATTTCGACCTCGATATGACAACCGGTTTATGAGACATGTAATATTATTGAAGGGGTTCGATTCTCTCCGAGGACTAAGCCAGCAGAAGTGGTAGAATGAGCTAGAGAGCTTGGAATAACGTGTTTCTTAGATTGTTATTGATGAAGAACTGCTTTCTCAAGCACTACGAGCAATATATCGACACCCGCGGAGAAAGCAGTAAGTTATCGGTATCTGATATTGGGCTCTCGTTTAGCAACTCTTCAATAGAAGCTTTAGGCCGCCACCAGGCCTCGCAACTAGCAGTTCTGAATCCATTTCTGCAGGGCATGGAACCATCAATAAATTTTGCTACCCGCAACCATCAATTTTGCAACCAGCATTTTTCAAAATTGATGATTGGCCTAAAATTTCTAATGACTTATAACCATCCAGTTTCCTGCAAATATGGCTCCACCAGCTGCAGCCTTACCCATTGTATGGGAATGGATCACCAATGGAATGTTCGAAATGGGGGATTCCAGCCTCGAGATACCTCACCATCCACTAGACACCATGGGTGAGGTTTTCCGGGTAGTCCAGGGAGATATATAACGCGGGGATGAAATCAATCTGTAATGAGAAAGCTCGGTCGATAATCAATGTATGCCAATTGATCTGTAGTATTAGAGAGGATAGCAAGGCGTGATATACGTGATGCCGAGCTAGTAAGGCAAAGACAGCACGCATACCTACCAGGAGCTATATGTAATGATAAAGTTATCAAGACGACGTAATCCCTAGTAGTCTGTATTATACATGCACACGTAGTTGTCATCATGTCAGTGAACATGTGTCGTCGGAGAGGGGCTACTCCTCTCCCCCCTTCTCTTCTCTTTCAATGACCGTCGCCCATACAAGTCCAGTTAACTCTCGCAAGTCTCTGACCGCGGACAACCCACCCACATTCCTAGCATATGATAATCCCGAACCTCTTCCGACCAAAACACCAACGAATGTTCTTGTCGATAGAAGCTGGCTCCCACGACCACCCCCCGGAGCACATTATCTTTTGGTGCACATGTCCATGCTATACCATGGTCATCAAACGGTATTGGTTCCATTAATCGAACATAGAATGCAAGAGTACAAGGCTCTGGCATTAAGTGAGCGAACTAAATGGGGTGTTGACTAGTAAGGATCCGTTCACTCACTTAATGCCAGAGCCTTGTATGTATGTATGTAGTCTCTCCTACTGTCCAATCCCTTCGTACAAACCAGCTGCATGCATATATTTACTAATCAGCTAAAAAAAAATCACCGGTTCAGATTGAAATCCGAATATATTCATGCCAGACGGACCAGAATGTTCAATACATATCTACTTCATGCTTATTTCTGGGGGTTTGGGCGCCTGGGTTTGAGGAGGAATCCTTCATCTATAGGTCCATGATCGATACTCAAGCTAGTACCCACGCCTGGAGAAAACCAACATTCTTCCACGCCGGGTGATATCCCATGAAGCAATAGCAAGAACCGCTTTCGGAACACGCGCGCTCCACACTTCTACATCGGGCAGTAGTCGAAAAATCTGGTGAGTGACGTCACTGAATCTGCTTACGTCATTCACCTGATCTCGCAGGTACATATACTCAAAGATATCACCCTACAACACCTGAGCTCTGAAAGAAATCTCAATCACCAATAACTATTTACTACAACTACATGTACCTCTACCGAGCTATACAGACCCAGATAAAATAAAAGATACGATGACAGAACTTACCACAGACAAGCCGACCGCCTCACACCCCACCGGTGTGACCCCCTCAACAGCAACTAGCAGTGGTACGACCTCCACTGCTGAAGCACCCACAAAAACTACTCCCCTTGCCCCAGAGCCCCCCCTCCAGCCCACCCCCATACCAGCCCCAGGAATTCACGGTGCCCTCTTCCACGGTGAAGCTGGGCGCCACTCCCCCACACCCCCCATGCCCCAACCCGGCGCCATCCCTTTCCTCCCAAAAGAGACCGCCGCACCCGGCACAGGCCCCAGCAGTCGCTGCAGCAGTGTCAATCCCAACGACACGCTGCCACCAACACCCAACTGCGGCCCTGCCGAGCCGTACCCGCCGCAGATGCGGCTGCGCGAGAACATGGCACCAACACGATCAACGCTGCCGTTACCCCCCGGGGCGCGTATGCAAGGGGAGCAGGAGGTGCGGCCGACCACACATCTGCCGGTCGACGACCACATTGGAAGGCCTGCGACAATGAATGTGGCCGTGCCCACAGAGTACCACAATGCGTTGCCGTCACGGCCCGTGCAGGACCCGAGCTATACGGCGGCTAGGAGAAGTGCGGAGGTCCATCCGAGTGGGTACAGGCAGAACTCTGAAGCGATGGAGAAGCCTAGGTATTATGGGGTAGAGCACGAGAACGAGAACGAGAACGAGAAAGAGGGGAGGGGGGACAGGAACGGGGAGGACACACTGTTGAGCAAGTTGGGGAAGTGGGTGGAGGGCCTTAATAATAAGATTGTGGAGACGGGAATCACGGGGGATACAAAGGGCAAAGGAAAGGAGACTCAATAGCAGCAGATTTTTCTTTGCTTTTATTTCTCTTATTATTTACTAGCTCTATCTTGCTTTTAGTCCTATTTTCATTTAAGAAATTGCACTTGTATGTAGTTATCAGGTATAACTAAATGACACTTACTGTGCCTCCTGCGGTAGCAAGCCAGGTTTCCTTAACTGGCTGTGCTATTAGAGTAACAATATATACCAAAGACATGCACTTGTCTTCCGATGTTTTATTTTCACCCTCTTGATATTAACTTCCCTGATATCGATATCGCACAGACCCTATGACATGTCTCTTGTGACGTGCTATTCTCCGGTCCGGTCCAGCGTCCAACAATTCCGTCATGAAGATCATTGGCCTCTGAGACATGCTGGTTTTGTACTAACTAGTACTAGCTAGCAGCTGGCACTAATACGAATATGGCAGTCCACATCAAAACTCTTGTCGGTACACTCTAGACTTATTTCGGCTTGTAAGTAATCGTAGAGCCCGAAAACCGGAATCGGGATTGGGTCGGTACGCTAGACAGCACCCTGGTAGTTGGGTTCTCAGGAGTACTGGTAGCGGGTGCGGGTCTTGGGCTTGGGAGGAGCTAGAGTAATCTTCTGGTTTTGGAGTTCGGTTGATGTGTCGAATTCGAAGGAATAGTAATATTCTATCTAGATGATAGGATATGCAGGTAAGCTAGACCTCACCGCTGATCTTGTGGGTTATAGGGGTCGTGATATAATGGAAGACCCCCTAGCTATATCAACTTTGGTTCGTACTGGCCGGCCCTTGGGATCTTGAGTAGTCTTTGTTGATGGGATTCTGGCAAGCTCGTGGAGTCCCAAGATCACGCTCCTGGGATATTGTCATTTCGTGTTTTATTTTTTTTATTTTTTTGACTTTGTGGATGTTTTTTGGGGTATTTTGGCGGTCTTGGCGTCGACCCCCGATATTTGCGGTTCGAATAAATATCGATATCTTATAGTCCAGGTAATAGATAAAATTAGAATCTTGCGGGTGACAGTATCATAGTCCACCTAACGCTCTGGTTTGATGTGTTGGGTGCTAACTTGCTGCATACCGCCCTGTCGGTCCGAGCGAGAGTTCATGATCTTACATAATACATACGTCTTATGTAAAAGTAGACCCAGGCCATTTCAATAGTAGGTGTTCATCCCCGAATTACATGTACTCAAGTTGTTGTTACATATTGTCCTTTGGTTTTGGATGTTGTGTACTTTTTTTTTTTTGCCATAGAACACTTGTTCTTATTTGCACATGTTAGCTATCACATATGAACGGAGCTTATTCCTACGCTCATGATCAGTTAACCAATCACACAACTCATACACCCGCTAAAGATCACTCAGAGAAAGAACTAGCGATGTCATCACAGACCTCTTGAGATCGAAGGATAATCCTGGAATACTGGATGGTAAACCAGCTGGACTGTCTTGTCTGTAATGCACATCTCCGGTTAAACAATGCCTTTGCTTAGGCTTTGGAATGAACCAGGGTGCACGGTGGTATGACTCCAAGCAGACAGCACATAGCGCTCTGGAACAATCACTAACGTTATATTAGGTATACATGGACGTACATGTAGTACCGCCTGCTCTGCTGTTGTATCCTGGGAATCAACATGCCCTGGCCCTTCGTGGTAGTCGACCCGTCTCGTGTGCCCTCGGGCCGGCCCGAGCCGGCCCGAGTTATTTGTAGAGTAAAGTAGCCCTGGGCTAACAAATGCAGATCATATACACGCTGTCTGGAATCTCTAGGGAGGTGTGCCGTTTCCTAGTACAACTGGTCAAAATCCTCACATTGTCCAAATGCCTCATGGACGATGAGACGGAGGTAATTTTCTGATTATGAAGGTTAGCGTCTATCTACAGTCAAATATGTGATATTAAAGGACCTCTCAATGCTTGGGTAAGTATCATATCATTCTCTTAACGCCCGCTACATAGCTCAGAGCTAATCAAAGGTATTTCAACGGGTCCGTCTATCCCGCCATCAGCTATATAATCATCGCCGTTCGATGAGAACAGCAAAAGCGAGAGGTTCATTGGACTATGGATTAACTACATATCAATACTCAGGGTCCACGACGCCGCCTGAGCATGATACTCGGAGCTCATGTTTGTCGATGGCGAGCCCAATTTTAGCAGCCCCCGGGGTATTATGCCTGATTCAAGACGATCACGGGGTACCGTTTGCCTTCCGAAGATAACGCACAGTTCTCAGGCATGCGGGGCCCCACCGGGCGGCCAATGGGTCGTCTACCCTTTTGTGGTTCATCGGAACACCCGTTGTTTGGGCACCATGATGGAGAACATCGTGGGCCAGTCACTATATATAGAAATCTGACATCAATGAACTCTTAGCTTTGAGATCCGATTCATGAATCAAGTCCACCAAGACCTGAGAAGCACTTCATGCACTAGGTACTTTGTCGGAATTGGAATCAGCAATTGGCATTGCAATTGGCATTAATGAAATGGGGCCAAGACACTAGTGGCTAGCAATGTCGTCACACCGAGCCAATCCAGGTTACCAAATAGTAGTAACGCAGCTAGCACTGCGTGACAATCCAGTAAGAGCCTCCGTCACAATTTCGCGCTGCGCGAATTTTTGAGTAAACAAAACGTACGAGCTGATCCGGCACATTAATTGAAAAGATCGCGATAGACACGATAGACACATGTATTCAAGTTTTCCCCAACTGCCCGGTTTCCCCAGCCTCCTCGCTAAATAAAGTTACACTTCTCGCTGTCCTCTGCCTCTTCCAGTGAGAAATTGGGAGTGGCTGGGAGGGAGGGAGGAGTGGTCCCGGTGCTGGGCAGCAACGTTTACAATTCGCTGCTGAAACGGTTGAACAACTGACAATCTTAGCTGATCAGAGTTCCCGAGAACGAACAGGTAGACAAAGAAGACAGGGAAGAGTATGCAGTGGCGCCCCTCTTGAAAGGTCTGAACCGGGAAAAGCCAACACGACTGGCCTGAAAAACCGGTAAACAAATGTCCACCACGGTTACACCTTCCTTAACAATTGACCACGGACGGAGAGTTTAGTTAGGTAGGTACATGTCTTTTTTTTTTTACTTGATCTCTGTCTGGCTTGTTCTCTTAGCAAAAGCTTCTCCCTTTCTCTCTCGTCTTCCTTTTTTCTCTGCAGGATATTCATGTATGTCGAGAAGAGCGGGGTACTGAGACGAGACGCGGCCCCGTCCGTGCTGCATTTGCAGTTTGCAGCGCAGTTTGCATCGCGCGCGTTCACCGTCCCGTGACTGGACCCTGGGGTTGCTGCGGCAACAGCAACGGCGCGATCCGTGCGCGTAAGTTTGTTGTTGTTGTGTGTTGTTTCTGCTCAGGAACCAACAGGGAATCACAATCATGAACTTCGAGGGAATTGAGGGAAGGCTAGGGAGAGAGGGGAGGGGGGCAAGATCATCTATCCGATTTGATTGCTTCAATTCAGAGAGATTCGGCGGCTACTGGGGGGGGGGGGGTGCGTGAGTGGGAGGGGAATTTGGATCTGGCCCTTTATCTCTTTTTCTTTCTTCCTCTGCACCCGTTTTGTTTCATGGGTGGGACAGTGGAGAAGGAGAAAAAAAGAAAAGCACAGACAGTAAAAAAAAAAAAATGAGATCCCATCATCATGCAGAAGAGTCATCATAAACAAAGCCCAATGCCTGGCTGGGGGTTCCCGGCCTGTTAAAACGGTCGCGTACAATCTGTCGGGAGCCCTTCCGCCAGCCGTTATGTATGTGTATGTAGGTAGCGATAGTGATGGGGGGAGGGAGGGGAGTGGATTAGTTTAGTTTTGGATTTTGGATGGGGGGATGCGATGCGATGGATGGATGGTCGCCGTGGGACGGGGACTGGGGGAAGGGAAGGAGAAAAAAAAAATTTAATTAGGGAGGCTGGACGAATTCCTACCGAACAAATCTTTTCTTTCGATTTGGCTGTTCCCTGGGGTTCTAAATGGAAGAGTGAGGGAAAAGGGCAGGTATAGACCGGCGGGGAGCAGAGTAAGAGTAAGAGTAAGAATGTTAACAGTGGGAGTAGGAGTAAGTAATCTACTCTAGGAGGTATGTAGGTACAGGTGCTCTACATGTACCTACCTACCAGAGCGAGTAGAGTATGTAGGTAGAGAGTACCCCGCCCCATCCCATCCATGCAAACCATAGATATTACCTAGATACGTTTTGGCAGGGTATGATACGGCGGTACTCTATCGAGGTATGGTGTAGAGTAGCAGCTACCTAGAGTATGTAAAGGGTAAAACCACCACATATCCATAGGGATACGGGAGATATAGCACACGTACGGGGATGGGGGTGGTTATGGACTGGTTGTATGTAGCTTGTAGAGTAGCCAGAGTACCACCACCACCACCACCACTCTTGCTGGCAGACTCGTAGAGTAGATAGAGAGGTCTGTACGAGGAGAGTAAACTTGTAAAGCGTTAGACCTGTCGCGTCGTCGTCGTCGTCGTCGTCCTAGTACTGCACTTACTCATACTCACCCACTACTCGTTCGTACTCGCTCCTACTTCCTACCTGGGCCTGAGTCGATCGAGCTCCTTTTCCCTAGCTAGGCCTCCAGGCTCCTCCTCCTCCTTCCTGGCTTAATTACTACCTAGCTAGAGTAGAGTACCTAGCTTGCTAGCTTGCAATTGCTCGACTGTGTTTAGAGATCTGAGGCGGCGATTACGAATTTCGAAAGTCTCTCCGCGCGCGCCTCACTGCTGCCCTGCCTGCATGCTTGCTTGCTCGTGGCGATTACATTGACTGACTGACTGACTGTTCGAAACAATTGAGTCGAGTCGTGTCGTCGTCAATTGATCAGACCCTCCTCTCGCTGATTTGCATCAATAACATCATCTCTACCTACATTGGTACTCTTGAGTCTTGGTACTCTACTCGTCCCAACCCCCCCACTCCCCCCCCCTTCCCCTCCATTCCAGATCCCCCTTCGCTCCTGCAGACGTCAAAAACCTTTTGGTCAGTCAGCTAGGCGAACCGGGAGCCGAGTTTCAATTGTAGAGCGTTTCTGGCTGTAAGTAGGGCGCCAGTAGCTAGTAACAGTAGCAGTAACAGTAACTTAGTAGATAGATACATAGCTCAGGCAGGGTAGACGGTGCGCGTTTGGTACGTACGGTGCGTTTGGTGCGCCGGCCAGCGGGTGGGGGATTAAACAAATATTGGAACAAGATAGGTTGGTTATATTTTTCGATCTCTCTCTTTTTTTTTTTTTTTTTTTTTTTTTGGTCGTTCTACCTTCTGGCACTGGATACTGGCGCTGGACTGGACTGGACTGGACTGGACTGGACTGGAGGGTCTAGTTATCTATTTTTTTTTATTTATTGGTTTTTTTTTTTTTTTTTTGTTGGCTGTTCACACACACACTCTCTTCACACATACTACTGGCGCTGCGATACTTGCTTGGCCCCATCATCATCACATACCAGACGATCAAGACAAGACAAGACAAGACACAGCGGGGCAATCAACATTAACCTGTTGTTCTAATCGCGAGGTTGGTCCCTAACAAGGCCCGACAAGACAAGACAAGACAAGCAAAAAAATCCATCTCCATCTCCGCCGGCCCTCCCCATACCCACCCACCCACCCACCCACCCACACCCACACACACACTCCCACACCCCTGCGCTGAAGCGGGAATTAACTGACGGAGTACATACATACGTCCATGTAGGGTATGTAGTTAGTTGCACCCACCGTTTTGTTCCTGTTCTGTCTGGGGGTTAATAATTGTGCAACTGCAACTGGAACTGTGTTTACATGTTCTGAATCGATATCTCTCTCTCCCGTTTTTTGGCTTGTGAAAGAGGGAAAGAAAAAGGGTTAAGGGAAGGAGGGAGAGATTGTCAATCTACCTGCCTCTACTCTACTGTACTCTACTCTACTCTACCTGACATCCTCATCACTGCACTGCACCTGGGCATAACCTAACACCCAACCCCAACCTCACTCACTCACACTCACACTCACACTCAACTCACTCAACCTGACTTAACCTAACCCCCATCATAATATCATCGTCCCATCCCATCCCATCCCCAACTCCAATTCCAATTACACCCCCAATTACCTACACGGGATAATAGGAATAATAATAAACAACAAACCCTCCCCTCCCCTCCCCTCCCCTCCCCTCCCATCCCATCCCAAACCCGGAATTAGCCCAACCTGCGTCATCCACCACCCTGCCCTCTGCCTGCCTGACGAACCAACACTAATCCCTCCCTCCCTAACTCACTCTCGCCCCGTTTCTCTCTCTCTTCGAGACTCTTACCGTACCCGTCTCTCACTCACACTCACTCACACTCGATCCATGGCGGCTGACCGCGGCGGCGGTCCGCCACCACCACAACCACCACCCCACAGCAGCAGCAGCAGCACAACAACAAAAGACAGAGACACAGACCAGCCCCCCCACCCTCCTCCTCCTCATCCTCCTCCTCCTCCCCGTCACTCCACATCCACCTCCACATCCTCCTCTACACCATCCTCATCCTCCTCTTCCAAAGACACAAAGGACAGAGACACCAAAGACAGAGACACCAAAGACAAACCCCCAGCACCCCCCCCGCACCGCACCTTCCCCAAGCCCTCCCCCTCCACCTCCTCCACCTCCTCCTCCTCCCATCACATCCCCAACACCAACAACAACAGCAAACAACCAAACTTCGACGTCATCATCGTCCCGCAGCACTCTGGCGGCGGCGTCATCTACCTCCCCAGCCTCTCCGTGCACCGCAACTCCTTCCTCGCCGGCGTCGCAAGCACGCTGTCCCTCCTCGCGCTGCTCAAGCTGTTGGCGCCCGTGCTGACCTACTGGGGGCAGAGCTGGGCCGCCGCGAGCGTGGGCATCGCCCTGGTTAGTGCTGGTGCCGGCGCGGTCCTTGCTAGATCTACTACTGGGGGCGACTTCTGGTCGGGAAACACAGGGAACACTAGTGGGAGTTGGGGTGGATATAAGGAACGTGCTGCTGAAACTGAAACAACGCCTCCGCCACCACCGCCCCATAGGAGCCAGACTAAATCGTCGTCGTCGTCGTCGACTTCTTCTTCGTCGGGTTCTGCTTCCTCTGCGAGGAGACCGGCAGAAGCATCAGGTGCGTCTTCTTCGGGTGCGTCTTCATCTGCCTCTGCCTCTGCCTCTGCTTCTGATCATCATCACGCGGACCCCCCTCCATACTCACCCTCACCCTCACCCTCCTCTGTGCCTGTCCCTGTGTCGGAGAAAAAACAAAGGACGAAAGCTAAAGATCTAAAGCCCGAGCTTAAGCCGGACACGCCGCCGCCTTCACCGCCGCTGGTGCCTGTGGTGACGAAGCAGAGGCAGGACAAGGACAAGGACAAGGCGGATATCAAACAGGAGAAAGCGGATATCAAGCAGGCGAAGCGGGAAAAGGAAAGGGAGGAGAGTAGCAATAGTACTAGTAGCAGTAAGCAGGCGGAAAGGAAGGATCACAAGGAACAGAAGGTGCAAGAGCGCCCTGAAGAGGAGGGAAAAGACAAAGACAAGCACCGAGTAGCAATACAGGAAAATCAAACCCAAAACCAAACCCAAACTCAAGACCAAGACCAAAAAAAGGAGGACCGGACATCACAAATACAAACACAAACATCACAGGATCCCCAAACAAAAACCAAACCCCAACCCCAAAAAGTACCACAAGAAAAAGCAGCATCTCAAGAACCCACTGCAAACCCCACACGTGACACCACCGCCGACCAATCAGAAGACGACGCCAACATCGCCCGCCTCCAACAAGAACTAGACCAAGAAACCGCCCGCCTAACCGCCGACCTCGCCACCATGCGCGACTCCCTCGAAAAAGACCGTCTCCGCACCGAACTCGCGCAGAAGGAGCGCCTCCGCAAGCAACTCGAGCGCGCCGACAAGGACCGCAAAGAGAAGGAGCGCCTCGCAAAGATCAAAGCCGAGCGCGAGCGGCGCGAACGCGACATGCTAGCCAAGATGCGCAACACCGAGCGCGAGCGCGTCGAACGCGAGCGGGTTGCGGCCGCCGCCGAGGCCGAGCGGCTGCGAGTGGAAGCCGAGCAGCAGGAGGCAGCGCGCCAAGAGGCAGAGCGCGTGGAGAAGAAGCGGCTGGCGGAGCTGCAGCGCGTCGAGAAGGAGCGGTGGGTAAGGGAGAGCCGCGAGAAGATCCGCGTGGAGAAGGAGCGGCGCGAGAAGGAGAAGGTGGAGCGGGAGCGCGAGGAGCAGCAGCGGCTGGCAGAGCTGGAGCGGGAAAGGCTGGCGGAGGAGCGTGCGGTGCGGGAGCGGCTGCAGCGCGAGCGGGAGGAGAGGGAGCGTGTGGAGCGGGAAAAGGCGGAGAAGGAGCGGTTGGAGAGGCTGAAGATTCAGAAGGCTGCGCAGGCCGCGAAGGAGAAGGAGCGCATTGCGCGCGAGGCTGCGGAGCGCCTGCGGCTCGAGCGGGAGAGGAGGCTGAGGGAGAAGAGCGAGAAGGAGCGGCTTGAGAAGGAGCGTGTCGAGACGGAGCGCCTCGAGCGGGAGCGCCTGGAGCAGGAGAAGCTGGAGAAGCAGCGCCTGGAGCAGGAGCGCATCAAGCGGGAAAAGGAGGACAGGGAGAAGCGCGCCCGTCTGGCCTCTGAGCGGGTCCGGGCGGAGAAGGAGCGTCTTGCAAAGCTCAAGGCCGCGGAGAAGGAGCGAAAGGCCCAGGAGACGCTCGAGCGGGAGCGGCAGGAGAAGAAGCAGAAGGAGGAGAGGGAGCTGGCCGAGTCGGAGCGCATCAAGGACATCCGCGACAAGGTCGACAAGGAACGTCTCTCCCGCGAAGAGGAGGAGAGGCGGATATTGGCGCAGGAGCGCGCAGAGGAGGAGCGGCTCCAGGCCGAGCGACAGAGACTGGCAAGGGAGGCCCGGGAGAGGATATTAAGGGAGAACGAGGAGAGCGAGAAGTTCCGGCGGGAGCTGATGGAGGAGGTCGAGGCCAGTCGGGAACAGGAAGAGCGCATGAAGCGGGAAAAGGCCGAGCGAGAACGCCTGGAAAGAGAGCGACTGGAGAAGGAGCGGGAAGAGAAAGAGGCCCGGCAAAAGGCTGCAGCGGAGCGACTGCGACTCCAGCGCGAGAGAGCGGCCGCAAAGGCCCTGGAGCGAGAAAAACAGGAAGCAGAAGAAAGAGCAGAGCGGGAAAGAGCGGAGAGACTGAAGCAAGAGAGACAGTCAGAAGAGCAGCGACAGCGAGAACGATCAGAGCACGACCGACTGGAATGGGAGCGACACCAGCGCCTGATGCGGGAGAAAAGCAGTGCAAGACGGCCAGAGCACGAGCGTGTGGAGCAGATCTCATCAACACCTCGAAGACATCATTCCTCAACCAAATCACTGCAATCCTCATACCAGACACCGCCCCCTTCAGGCACGCGCAGGCCAATGAGCGACACATCCACAAACTCGCGATATCACCTGAAATCCTCACATTCCGTGCACGTCAAATCTCCCCCGCCAACCACCGAGCAATTCGACTCACCGCCGCCCCCGCCTCCCCCACATAGGACAAATGTCACCTCCTCCTCAAACGGCCACCGAACCTCCCCACCACCCCACCGCCCCCGCACTCACCCCCCCGCAAGGCATACACCACCTCCGACCCCTCGAAGATCGTCCTCAAGGCCGTCTACACATTCACCAACAGCAACCCCACCAAGCCGCAATCACAACTACTCCCCGGCAAGGGCGGCGTCAGCGAGGCCCTCATCCTCCGCATAACGACCGAAGGCCTCTTCCTCGACGACGTCCTCAAGGCAACAGGCCTGCGCGACTACGACGTAAAGACATGGACAATCAAGCTCATTGAGATCTTCTGCCCGCGCTATGTCCCCCCGCCGCCGTCCACAAACGGATCAACAAAGAGCTCGTCGATAAAGTCGAATCCGGTGCGGCGGCTGTTTTCGCCGGGCGGGTCGAGTGTGGAGAAGGGCGCGGGTGAGGAGGATATGGATGCGGTGATATGCGGGATACAGAAGACGTGCTATCGCGATTGCTTCCAGATGAAGCGCTCGGGCGGCGGGATGGCGGGGATGCATATGGTGCGGGCGACGATCAGGGATGCGGAGGCGAGGAGGTATGTTTTTCTGGTAGACGAGGAGGAGGGCTGGAAGATTGAGGAGGGGATGAAGGTGCTGAGGAGTGGGAGTCTGGCGAGGAGTATGATGGTGGAGGGTATGGGGAGGGAGGAGGCAGGCAAGCTGATTAGGAGTGTTGCGGTGGCTGCATGAGTGGTTGTTAGCTGGCTAGTTCGTTCATATGTAGTTTTTTTTTTGCTTTCTAGCTGGCGCTCCTTCTCCTCTTTTTCTTACTTTTACTATATATCACTTTGTTTTTACAAATATTGCATATTCTCTTCTCTTTTTCCTTGTGTTTTTGGTTTTTTTTTTTTTTTTTTGCGTTGGGCATTTTTTAGGACTGGCATGTAGGGTTAGCTTTTATTTTAAGGGTGCGGCGCTTGCTTGCTTGCTTTGTTTCCGCTCCTCCTTCTTCTCCTCCTCCTCCCTCCTCTTCTCCATCTTCTGTTTGCTCCCTTTGTGATTGTGGCGGCCAGAGTGTTGTCTTTTTTTTTTTTTTTTACCCTAAAACGAGCGTGGCGCTGATCTGAATTAGTATCTATCTTACTATCTCCTTTACTCTATACCACTTCCATTCTACCTTTTTTTCTATCTATCCATCTACCCTACCATACCCAACCCACTTCGATCTTCTTTTTTTCTTTCTTCTTTTTGATTACGATGCTTGATGATGATGCATGATGCATGAGATGAGATTTGGGGGGGTGTTATAGGGATATTTAATTATCGCTTTTTTTTGTTTTTTGTTTTAGGGGGCTGGGGGGGTTGTATTTATGAGTTGAGTAGTTGAGGTGGAGGTGGGAGGGGGGCGTGTGGAATATACCCTTGAGTCATGAGCATGAGTGTTATATCAGTACAAGTACCTGTGAATGTGTGCTATGTTTGTGTCTTTGGCTCAATATGAGTGACATCGGTGTTTAAAACACTTTTGGTGAAACCTAGCTAGGACGATGAGAAGGTTGAGTGTTGCGCGTGCTCAGTATGACTTTGCTGTGAGTGATGGGCTTAGTGTCGCGATACTTCGTAACATCACAAGATGGTGGTGGAAACAGAGGTGTCTCTGCGTTGGTCAGGTGTTTAATCCAGGGTTAGGTTTAGTATCTACACACACATCACTTACACACAGAAATCCATGCCAATGTATGTTTGGCCCTGGGCAGCCAGGAAGAGAGAAACAGAGAGGATTCTCTTGTTCCCGATGGTGTTTTGGGGTTCTGCTCGTGCAAGTGTTTGCTGGATGTGGGATGTGTGCTGAACAAAGAACGGGCCGAGTGATATGTGGTGATTATCACTCGTAGCGCAGGTGGAAGCAAACACTGGTCTAGTCACAGGCCTGGTCACAGCCGTGGAAATAGAAAACTAGCAGCTGTCCTCAAGCCTTAACCCAACCTCAACGTCACCTTCAACCTCAACCTCAACCTCACACCATCACCCTCACCACCACACACTCCACCACCTACATTCCACCATCCCATCACCACACTCACCCCAAACCACCACAATGACAACCCCCTCCACCGACCCGCACCGCAGCAAGCTCAACTACTGGCTCAGCCACGGTCCCCCCCACCCCCCCTTCACCCCCGCCGTCCTGCGCAAGACGCGCGAAAGCATCGAAAAGAGCCGCCACACACTCGAAGCGTGCATCGCCCGCGGTGGCGGCCTGGCCGAGGTCCAGGCCCCGCTCAAGTCGCTCGCGCCGGAGATGGACCGCATCCTCGAGGCGCTCAACGTCATCCGCGCGCTGCAGGAGCTGAATGTCGCGGCCGACTTTTGGTGGTATGTGGCTTTGTGGGGCCGCTTTGGGCTTGCGGTGGGAATGCTGTTGATGGCCGGGTGGGGGTGGGAGTTGGCCAAGTCGATTGTGAGTGGATTCTATTCTGTTTCTTTGTGGGTGGGGTTTGGGGGGTGGATGGATGGCTGATGGGGGTGTAGCCGCTGTCTGCGGTTATCATTAATTGCAGGTATCTGTTTCCGGCGAATGATGGGTTTATGTATATGGCGGTAAGTCTCCTTCCCTCCCCACACCCACTGCATAGTGGCCAGAGGAGAGAGAAGCTAAAGGTTATAATTATATTACAGGCCCAGCTGAAAACCCTTGGACGTGGCTTCTTCTTTGAGCACATCCTCAACACCTGTTTGCTCCTGATCTACTGCAGCACTAGAGGACCCGTCGTGGTCACATTCACTGCGGTCTACTGGTAAGTACTGGACATGGCTCTACCTGAAGAACTGATTGGGTGGGTAGCGGGCTAACTTTGTGGGGTTCATAGTGTCTTGTTCCTGGTTGGGTGCAGGGCCAGCAAGATCAGGTTTAACAACCTGTGGAAGGTTACGGGGCATACCTAGTTTACCTTGCTTGGGAATGTTGAAAGGCTTAGAAGTCAACAGCGGGGTGTTATGACCGTCCCCCCAGATAGATAAGGGGGAGTGGAAAACCGTTACTACAGTTACATGAAGCAGTATATTTACGCTGGATGATAGACTTCATGTACGTCATGTGGCCAATAAGAGGCCTGTTTTCGTTGCGTTGCACACTTTTATTGACTAGGGCGCCACCACCGAGTGATAGGTGGTGAGAAATTTTTAGAGCTATTAGTTACTAGCAAATGTTTTACATTGAGCATTTTCGTTTGATTCGTTAGTTTTAGAAACCAGGGCGCAGCTCAGATACGGGTGCGACTGTAATTGCCAGCAGTGCATGAGGGCAGATTTTTTTGAGTCGGGTGTGGGAATCTACCCCTAACCCTGGTTAGTACTTGTCCTTTTTTTTTTTGTTTAATTCATTAGTTGCATGCAACCAGTACTTGTCGTTGTAAAAAGAGGTTCGGACCACCATATGTTGTCATTATAAGAGGTGGCTTGGATTGTCCTTCTTTGATATCCGTTATTTTTGTGTCAAGACAAATCGGTTATATGATTCCGATTACGTAATCTGCGGGGATGTTGGGCACAAAGGTTGTATGGATACTTCGATGTAGATCGATGCCATCCAACCAGTCATTCAAGCGGTAGCCCCTGGACGGAGATAGCCAATTTTTCGAGTTTTGGCCAACGTTTTGTGCACAGGTACTTGTCTACATGTTTTTACGGTCGCTGTCAATGTCGGTAATTGGTGGGTTACTGTCACAAAGTGGGCGGTCGCACAATCTACAAGTGTCATTTTTGGGTGGGGCGGCTACATTACCAGGCTGCGAAAATATACGTTAGCTATAGAGGGATACTAAATACACTTAGAGGACGCCGTAGTATGTATGTACATGTAGTTATCGTCCTTTCCATATCCCTATAGCTATAGAGGGGATCGAAGTGTCAATTTTTGAAGGCTCTTGTAAACCGTCGGTTTCGAAGTGTTGATTGTCGGAAATGATACTTAGTAAATACGCCCTGGTTAATAGAGCGCGCCCAACGCCCCCAGCAAAGCACCCGATACCTAGTTTGTAGGTACTGTGTCAAGACAGCGAGTTTGGTTGTCCTGATATTAATACGTGTTTAATTGGCGCGTCCCTGTTTGTTATATATAAAATTAAAAGGAGCCTGTTGCTTCTGTTCTCGTTGATACATAAGTAGCTATACAATTCTATTCTTACAAAACCGCGCCGGCCTGGATAACACTCTTGAAGAACGGAGAAGAGCGAGAGTTCTCTTCCTCTTAATTCAGTATAATTAGTTGTTTGCTACGCTTCATCCTCGACTTAAACTCCCTACTCTGTATCTAGCTGTTGATTTCCCTTACCTCATCGGCATAATATAAGCGTTACCTTACTCCTTGAATAATTATAGTTATATACGAGATATTTCTTTACAGAATTAAGCTATGCATTACCGCTAAACTCGATCGAGAGGATTATCCAGCTCTCAGACGCACTACATATAAACGCACACAATTCCACACTAAACACCTAAAACCCCACTCCAACCCCCAACCCCACCGCCAGCGGCACCGCCATAACCCCCACCCTCCCACCTCTCCACCCCTTCACCACCGCCGCCCCCGTCTCCACCCCGCCCCCCACCCCCGCCGCCGTCATCGTCACCGTCGTCCTCGCCACACCCGTCGTGCGCGGGGTACTCTTATTGACACACACGCCATTCGAGCACGTCTGCGACGCCGGATCGCAGCACGAGTCGCCGCAGCAAATGTTTCCGGGCCAGCAGCAGCCGCCGTTGCCCCCGTTTGCGCCTGGGCAGCACTCGTTGCCGGCGTCGCAGCAGGTGTCGCCGCAGCACTTGGTGCCGGCTTCGCAGCAGAGGGATTTGCAGCAGTCTTGGCCGGGCCCGCAGACGTGGTTGTAGGCGTTGCAGCAGACGTAGCTGGGGTTTGTTAGCTGTGAAGGGAGGGAGTAGGGGAGAGAGGGAGAGAGGGGGAGGTGTTCATACCCTAAGGGGGCGCATTGGCGCCCGTCGCAGGTTTCGCGGTCGGGAGGGCAGCAGCTTTCGACGCCTTTGACGACTTGGCACTACATTGTAGAGATGGCGGGTGAGAAGTGTTCCTGATCGATCATGTACTTGGGGAGGGGGGATTATGGGTTGGGTTATAAAACGACGTTGGGAGGACTTACAGTATCGCCTTTTGTGCAGCAGAAGGCAAGGTTATCGGGGCACTACATATAGTTATAGTGGTCAGTAATTATAAACTGAAGTTGGATATGTATTGATTTCCAAAGGTCTGGCTGGCTAGCTGGGCCTTCTTACACAATAAGTGTCGGTCCCACAGCAGTTCCCATTCGCAAGCACGGCCGCACATTGCGTCGCTATATATCATCACAATCACCCACATGTCAGTTCAAAAAACTCAGCCTGGTAAGATGTACAACTAGTACTTACAATACGCTGGATCAGTACAGACACGCTCCTGCCGCTCAAACAGCTTCGGCACCGGCCACGCGCCAATACCCGTTGGCGGCCTCACGACCAGGAAGTCATCATCCTGCGGCTGCAGCGGCTGCACTGCTGGCGCCGCCTGCTCGGCTTTTGCGAGCGCTGAGAGAGAAAGCCACACAAATAAGCAACTAGAAAACAGCATCTTTCGTCGTGGTGAATCGATGAAAGTGCAGGAATGAGCATGAGGGGGGACCTCTTTTTTATTCCTTTTTATTTTTTTCCTTGGGGCACGGGAGGGCTCATATTGGGGTGGTGGCGGTGGTACGGTGTACCATAAATTTAAGCTTGTCTGGGGGCGGCGTGCTGCGATTGGGTGGAAAATACTTTATTGTTAGGGGGGGGAAGGGCAGTAATACGAAGTGGTGTATATTGTAGTAGTTCTGCATGTAGGACATATTAGTTGGGCACTCTGATTGGCCAGGGCCCTTGTCGCTACTACACAAGACTGTAAGTTGTAACCCAAACGAGTGACTCTGCAATGATATTAAATTGCAACAAACAAGCTTAAGTCCCATCCATGCCCGCCCAGCTTCCTTAATTATTCTTCTTCTTCCTTGTCCTCTCAACAGCCCATATGTGCCTACCAAGTTCCAAGCATCATAGCCAAGATTAGACGCCACAGCGCCCAGCTAGTACGACAGCTAACCTCCACCGCCAGCCTTCCAACTCGTACTCCTGAGTACCTACATACACCCACCACCCTTGTATCCTCCAGCCACCCAGCCCCACCCCCAGTAGGTACTCCCGCCAGTATCTCCTGTACTCTAGCTAATGTACGGACCAATATCTTATTTTTCCGGCGTGACTACATGATCCACAGTACGTTTGAGCACGAAATGTCACCAGGGTTAGGTGAAAATCTCAGGGTTAGGTGAAGGTCCAAAGTGTCAGGATCCTGTCAGCTCTGGGGTTAGGGTTACACCAGTTGATAAGATGGATCGACGACCTGTTAGCCAAGACTTGTGACAGGGAGGACAAGTAGCTTAGCCCATCATTACATGCAGGCCTTACACGACCACCCTTAGGCTGCTTCCGCTTTTTCGTAGCATTAATTTCCCCCCAATAACATGAAGCGGAATTAATTGGTTGAACTTTTAGAAAGTCCGTTGATATATGTGGGTCTGTGAGAGCTGTGGGTTCCGTGATCTTTTATATTAGGTGCTTAGGAGAGAAGTATGATATCAGATCAGACCAACTAGTCGCCAATACCGCAAAATTACAACAAATAAGATATTGCCCCCAAGGCCATACATGTAGTCAATACCACTATATCATTGCCATCACAACCGCCACAACTCCCAGCGCAAGCGCCCCTCCGGTCCACGCCCCATTCCTCACCCCCGCCCCAGTCCCCAACGACCCCATGCCAGCCCCACTCCCACTCCCGCTACCACTGTCGCTGCCGCTGCCACTGCTGCTACCATACCCCGAGCCCGAGCCGCTCCCAGAGTAGTCGCTCCCAGAGTAGTCGCTCCCAGAGTAGTCGCTCCCAGAGTAGCTGCTCCCAGAGTAGTCGCTCCCCGTCGTCGTGGTCGGCATGCCGTAGTTGTACTCCGAGCAGTAAGCGGGCACCTGCGAGTAGTCGCCGTCAATCAGCGCGCCCGAGTTCGCACTTGCGCAGTTTCGTATGCGGGAAGCCAGTTCTTGCGCTTCTAGATCTGTTTGCCGTGCTTTCCTAGAGAGGTGGGGGGTGTTAGCTGCTTGCCTGCCTGCCTGCCTACCTGCCTGCCCAAGTGGCTGGTGAGGTAGGCCATGAGGCAGGGAGGGGAGGGGAGGGGGGGGGGGGGCTACCGTTGGGCTGCGAGAGCTGGGGTGGAGAGAAGGAGTGCGAGGGTGGAGATTAATATTGTGGGGAGATGCATTTTTTGCGCTGTTGGTCGCCGGAGATGAGAGCTATGGAGGCTGTACGTGCAGATCTGAGGAGCAGGAGGACGGGGTGGAGGAAAAGAAGGGGGAAGGTAGCTTTTTTTTATACCAGCCTTCTCGCTCGCTCTCGCTCGCTCAGGTCTCACGGCATCAGCTAGCTAGCTAGCTAGCTTGAGGCATTGTCTTTTACTGGCCGCCATTTTATGCCCAGATTGGAGCTAAAGCCTATTTTTTTTGGCGCATATGTGTGTGTGCATGCTAAGTTGATAGGGAATTGAGGTGCTGGTGGTCGTGTGAATAAGGCTGAGTCCTTCCACTGGCCATGGCTCAGAGTAGCTACTCTATCTTGGGACTCTAACATCAAATAGGTAGGGAAGAATTAAGGGAGGTAAACCCACAGCCTTCCCCTCAACATATCGGATCCAACAACCTCGTCCCATCCCCACGGGGGGGGGGGGGGGTGGTTTAACAGACACCCCTTAACTGAGAGCTCTCATAACAGACCGGTAGTTAGCTAGAAGAGGCTGAGGTTCCGCTATATCAAGGCCGGTATGTACCGCCAAACCGAGACCTTTGTGGCTAGCCTTGGCACCCGGTACAGCGCCGGGCGGTCAAAATCAGCCCTCATGTTCTTTTCAAGCCAGAAACTAGTCCTAATCGGGTAATAATGATCATCTAATTATCCTAATATGGTAAGAATTATCCCAAATTAATGTGGACGCCTTGGCATAAAGCTATTAAAGTTATTATTTCACACCTATGTTTTTCGGGCAGATTGCACCAAATGTTTGAGAGGTCATAGTGCAGCCAGTTCTTAACTATTTTAAATCCCTTTTTATGGGGATGTTTACAACCATGATTAGACCCATTTTACAAAAGAACATTATTTCTGGACAAGTGTTGCGTTGTTGAAAGTCGATGGGGTGAAGGGGAGTCGGTGGTTGCTCTGGCCGGCTGGTTTTGGCTGTCCGACACCGTACAAGTTCTGTTGCACCTGGTGTTACAATTATGGTTACACCATTATGAGATGGTAACTGTCATGTGGGTGGTTGTTGTTCCACCAGGAGAGAGAAGGAAAGAAAGAAAAAATCTTCCTGTCGGTGAGACCGATATGGTGCAAATTAGCTGTTAGGTAGAGAGTACAGTTGCACCTCGCTATATATGGCGGAACTCAATATGCCGGATCCCTTGCTGTCCCGTATGAAATTCCCCGAGAATTCTGTTTTTCTGCTGCTGAATCGGTTTGTTATCCCGGATTTCTTAGGGATATTTGAATCTTGGCCATCCGGCATAGCGAGGTGCGACTGTAGGTACAGTCGCTCACCTACTGACGGCGGATCCTGTTTGATGGTTCTGTTTACAGTAATTTGCCCTTGGCGTCCAAAATCTAATTCTTTTATTGGCCTCAAATCCCTGACCGCCATCAGACAGGATCCGCCTTCACCCCGTGAGTGACTGTACAGCAGATGGTATATACCGCGGGGTCGTGATGAAGGCTGTGTCACCGTGGATTAAACTGCGGGTGCAATGCATGTAGATGGAATAATTGGAGTATATATGGCTCGAGAAGCTATGGGGGGTAGGTGTGTAAACTTCGGCGTTTTTTTAAAGAATCAGCCAATCAAACCCATAGAAATTGGCCATAATGGTACTAGCGCCTAGACTAACCCTGGCATTTTCTCAGATTCCCATACAAACGAAATTCCTCTGAAGTTGACACACCCGCCCTCTAGGCCTTCTCGCGCCATAGCTAGCCGGGCAACAAGAAACCCGAGGATATGGGCCAAGGATCTCCATATTGTACCTACTACCCCAGTGACCGTAGGTAGCTGTTCGTGCAGCTTCCAGTCAATTAACGCGGTATGCGGTATGCGGTGATCGTGTCGTAGAGTAGGCAGAGGAGAGAAAAGCTTGATTCCACTCTAAGGCATAGTTGGGGGTGGCTTTGATGGCAGGCCATGGGTAAATATAGAAACCCTTCAGCTCTATCCCTTGGACGGATGAAACTCTCAAATTCGCGACATGGACCGTGCACGCACTTAGTAAGGCAGTTGTCCTTCTTTTTGCAGGTGATAACAATAATTGAGCCAATGAAAAATCAGCTACAGTTACCACATAAGGCTAGTGATAGCTGAAAGAGGGATGTCGCGAATTTGAGAGTTTCATCCGTCCAAGGGATAGTAATCAGCTAACTAGCTAGCCTATCCTGCGTTCCATCGTGAGCGGGCGGGGGAGGGGCACTTGTATCTCTCTGGATGGACCGCTAGTCCCAAGCCGTGATATCAACCTCTACTCTAGTCTATAGACGTAAGCCTGTGTCTATCTCGCATCATGACATTGTACAGCGAAAGCTTGCTATAACGGTACTTTCTATAAGGGTAATCTCTCTATAACGGTAGCATTTCTCGGTCCTTTTTGCCTGGCTTTCAGCACCAGCACCTCCTATATAAGGGTAATCTCTCTATAACGGTACCAAATTCCGGCCCCGAGCGTACCGTTATAGCAAGCTTTCGCTGTAGTCGGCAATGTTCGTAGAGTGGTAGTTCTGCAGCTTCGTTACTCCTCGCACCAGGAACCAGAGCGTAGATGTAAGATAGATAAGGGAACACAATCTACTGCCTGAGCTGAGTACATGTAGATAGAGTTTAACTGGTTGGCTGAGTTCCAAAGACGCCGCCCGTACGGCGTCACCCGACAAAGCAGCTGCAGTCAGACTCGAGCATAGAACACTACTACTCTCGTGCCCAGCTGTGTTTGCTTTGATTCTGTGTCTGCACGCAGTGCGACAACAAAACAGTCTGGGAACGGGACTAGAACACTACATTCAGTCTGGAACAAATTCTTCCCCCAAAATCTTCAATCTCGCTAATTACACTCACAACTCCAAACCCGCCAAGCGAAGGTTCACAGTCCATCACTCGCCACGATCCTACATGTAGATACCGGGGGTTAACCATAACTACCGAGAATCTGATAAGATAAACACAAGCAAGATTCTCTTATCAGATTCTTCGTATTCACCCTCAACACCCGGTACATGTATGTATACTATCTGGTAGACCAAGTATAGTGCGTCCACCAGCTGCGCCAGGGGATTTGGGGAATTTCGTATTTCCATACGTAGCGCCCGTATGTCGTCCCAGGCCTTTAATCGTTCTGGTCCTGCCACAGCTTTTCCTGCACTCTCCAGTCCTTGTATTGTTGCTCCTTATATACATGTGGAATTCGTCTAGGTGGGCCTGCTTGTTCTTCTAAATACAAAAATAGCCCCTTATATAGGCGGGCACCACAGGCGGCGGCCAGGGAAGCAATAGGGATTGTGGGCGCGTGCGGGTGATGGTTTGTGACCGCACCCGTGTACAACGGCGGTCGGAAAGTCTTGGTGTAACGTAGCAACCAAACTCCTCGGATCAGAGTTTATGAACCTCCCCGCAACTATGTCCACTATGCAGTTTTTTTTTTTTTTTTTTAAATCGTGTAGTTTAATTGATTCTAGGTACAAAACTCTGCATGCAGTCTTAGACTATGGCATAAAAGTACCTCTCCCCGTCTTGAAAACATAGAAGCACGACCCCAGATGAACAAATGAGATAAGGAAAATTACTGTATATGCCCCGAAAGTATTTATCTCAAGCCAGAGGAGCGCTTCAGAATTCTTGCTTTACGGTTAGAACAAAAAGTTCCGGAGGCAGACCCAAGAAGAGACAGGTCACTATCGTAGTACGATCCGTAATGTTGTTACTCGTTTGCTTACCTCCGCGCCCTGCTGCCTGCCCGACTACCTACTTACTACCTACCTCCGTGCCTACCTCCGCGCCCGATTGCCTGCCCGACTGCCTGCCTAATTCACCAGGTTTTGCACGGATTCTTTCGTTCGGGCTCGGGTTGAATTGCAATTGGCGGGAAGGGTGCCGGATTGTAGTTTTATTGGTTAAAATAGTAGCAGGGAAAAAAATAAATGGGTTTCTGTACTTTGGAAGTTGAGAATCCAAATCTGTATTTAGGAGTTGTGGGGAGCGGAGCGGAAATATCAATTAGTGATGTAATAAGGTAAAAGGGAGCGGGGGTTTAACTTGTAGCGACTGTTAATCTAATAGATACTAACAACACTGTTATGGATGTAGCTGAATTGCTCTTGTTCTATATGTCCATGATGGATCGGTCTCCTTCGTACCCTGCGGAATATTCACTACTCGCCCCCTTGAGAACTTCCCAGACATGCTCCCTGTCACTACTGGTGGACTCACAATGCTCGGAGGATACAGAGGATCATTGGACACTCAGAGCTTCACTCTGGTCGGTCTTCTAATCATTGGCGAAACATCATAGACTCGTCAGTCACTGCTCCTGTGAATAGATCCTCTTCCTAGCACCCAGAATGTAGTAGTTACTCTGACAGCTGGTAGCTAACCATGCTGCCGGTACTTGCATGTCACTGTACAACTGGCTTCTAACAATAACTCTCAGCATGTAACCGGGCCCTGTATGTACTCATACACCAGACAGTTGAAATGGCTCCGTTACAACCCTGTTGATAGAGGCATGCTTCACTCTTCCTATAAGATATTAGTTATCGATTAAAAAAAACGGCATCCTTCTCTTCCGCTATTTATTTATTTTTTGAAAATAACCACCAAAACCTTGCGTGGCAACCAACATTCCCCACCAAAAACTCTGTAAAACTCAGGCTTCAAAATGCCAAGCCCCACCCCTGACATGACCAAGGCCCTGGACGCCCTTGGAATTGGCAACCTCGACCAAGAACTTGTAGGCGTAGCCAACAATACCGCCCTCTCCGCCCTCACCATCGCCATCCTGGCCAACCCCAACACCTCGGACGAAATCAGACTCGTCATCACCCTCCTGTGCGGCATCGCCAAACAAAACGCAACCATGGCAGGCGATATCGCCTCCCTCCAACAGGACCACGAAGACCTCCAAGAGGAGGTCCGTCGCCACCAGCGCTCCCCCGACCCCCGCATCCTCAACCGCCTCG